TAGAGAAATATCGACAGTAAGATTCAACTGTGCCTGTGACTCTGCCATGCCATATAATTCATACACATCAGAATACTACACAGTACCATTGTCAGTACATTTGAGGTGTTTTGCTTAGAAGGGTGATGTGGAGAGGGATAATGCTAATATATGGCTCATTTTTCACAGCGAGATAGTTTATTAGATTTTAATTCTTGATTCCTCAACACTTTAGCAGGTATTATTTCCCCCAAAAAGAATTAGCTCTACTAATCAATATGCTCAACTGATGGTCTTTTAATGTTAGTTGATTACTAAGTCATTGAAAGGTACCAGTGCTGTTTTGTGAACTAACTAAGAAATTACAAAAGGATTATTTGATGATTAATTAAATGACAACATTTCCTCAACATTCCCATACATAAGCAAATACCTATAATCTGACACCAAAGATGCAACATTATGCTTCCATTGTTTTTATGAATCTTATTATTTCCTAAAGGCTTAATTTAAAAAAAAAAAACAGTAAATGGAGCAGAAATGAGTATTTTATACTGGTCTCACAGAATTGTAACTATTCAATTTCAGCAGGGCTGTGTGACTAGTTTTGCTTGTAGTGGAAGGTTCACTTTGATTTGCTTTGTGTCTAATAAGTACATTTTAAGGGTCTGGTGTTTATAAATCTACTATATATAAAGAGGTTTTTCTATAAATACAAAATTGGACTTTTGGCCTTTTTATCTGACTTTTTTTCCTTCATGAGTTTTCTTCATCAAACTCTATAGTGAATAGTATTCTTTGGCCTTTAGAGGTATGCCTTTTTTAGTGAAGTCTTTACATTCTCTTCCACTGGAAGCTGGAGGTGAAAGTAATTTTATTCCATTTCACTTAAGATCCTTTGCACATACTCTGTGCCCTTGCTATTTTATTTCCTCTGAAAAGTTCACTTTTTATTGCTATCTATTCTAAGTCATGTTCCTTGGAATTCAGTTCCCTAACTACTTTTTTTTTTTTTTTTTTTTAATTACTTTATTTTATAATATTTATTTTTTTTTATTCATTCATCTTTCTCTAGACTTTCACTCATCTCAAAGTAGGTTCTGGTTATGATTCTATAAGTCAGGGAATACAGTTCATAGATGCTTGTCTTATTTGTAGCAAAGTGGATGTTGGTCTCTTCTCCCAAGGAACAAGCAAGAGAACGAGAGCAAATGGCCTTAAGTTGTGCCAGGGGAGGTTTAGATTATATATTAGGAAAAATTTCTTCACTGAAAGGGTTGTCAGGCACCAGAACAGGCTACCCAGGGAAGTGGTTGAGTCACCATCCCTGGAAGTATTCAAAAGATGTGTAGATACAGTGCTCAGGGACATGGTTTAGTGATGGACTTGGCAGAGCGAGGTAAATGGTCTTGACAATCTTACAGGTCTTTTCCAACCAAAATGATTGTATGAAAGTAATTGTTTTAACTTTGTAAATTATTAAATATCTAAGATGTATTTCTTTCATTTAAAAAGCATAATATTCACTTTGAATCCTGTTTTATATTATTGTTATTCACAGAAAGGTATGTTTGTAGTGCCATTTCCTAAGCAGTGCTGAACTACATAATCTAACTCCCCATCAAATCACTACAAATTTACATATGGTAAATTAAAACCTAAACAGTACAGTCCCTTTTCATTTTTTCTTGATCCTGGTGTTTAACTGCTGGAAACACATCAGTAAATTCTGGCTGGCTGATCTCTTTCACCTTTCTTACTAAAAAAAAAAAAAAGATAATTTTAAGTGTCTCTTTTTCTTCCAGTATAAAATAAAAGGAATCAGAGATATTCTTGAACTTGTAGAATGCATATTTTTTGAGAAGAAAGTATTTACCATAAGAAATTATGGATTTCACATTTGAAGCCATATGAAAAGAAAAAAAAAACCCATAAGATTTTATCTCCAAATATAAAACGAAGCACATTTGCTATGTTTTGAGTTTTAATTATATTTTTAATTACATCAGTTTATCCTTAATTCTACCTGCCTGTATTTTTCAGTTTACATGGAGAAACTTCTTTCTTTTTAAATTTTTATTTTCTCATCTTTTAAATAAATGCTGCTGAAAGTAAGGAAATACTAATGCTGGCTTAGAATCAACTGTCATTTATATTTTGTTATCAGTCTTTGCCTATTATTATCTTTGGCACTTCTGATTGATTGTCTGAGCCATACTACAGTGATGTTTTAAACATCTTTGCATTTATTCTGCTCTTTCAAACATTACAGCTGTTGTGTTCTCCTAAGAAGAGACAGGCAATTCTGCACTCTACTCAGTTGTTTACATCTTCATATTCCCTTGCCATCTTCAAAAATACAAAAAGTCCTTCATCTTGAAAGTACTTAAATTTTCTAATGAAAAAGGTGAATGGGTTCTGGAAGCACACTCTTTGATTTCTGATATTCAGCTCCCATAGAATTTCTTCCATGACATTATAGATCAGGGTGATTTCTTTTGAGTGAAATAAAGCCTGGCTATGCTGACATGGTCTGTCAGCACTTTTAGGTAAGTAGATATGCTGTTTTTTCCCTCCTGTGGTTGTCCATAACACTTAGCAAAGTTTGGTTCTAGAAAGTGAAATTGTTTTATTTCTTGTGAGATCTTCATGGCAGCAGTTGTACTGAAATTGTTTTCAGTATGCTTTGCCAAGCTGAAGATAAAACCTAGGACTTTTCTTCACTGGTCTCAGAAATTCCTCCTTCTTTTCTTAGGTAGTCCATAGCAGTTGAGTATTTTACAATAAAAGTGGTTTTATTTATTTTTTTTTTCTGGTTTGTTGGGTTGTTGTTTTGGGCTTTTTTTAGGTTAAATGAATGTGGAGTTTAAAATTTACTAATAATGATGATTTTCTGACAGTCATTTAGTTTACTGTTTAGTTACACTTTTTCGGCTTCTTGCTCAAAACATTTTCTCTTTAACACAGTGAAATGGTATTAGCAGTTAAACATCCTATAGCCTCATTCTGCTTTCAAATCCTGTTAAAATCAGTTTACTAAATGTTATTGGTTAACTGCAAAAATATCTAAATATCCATCTCTAGTAACACCCAGAACTTCTGAAAATACTTATGAAATATTTTAAATATTTAAAGAATTGAGAAGACTTAATTGCATTTAAAATGTTGTAACAATTAGAGTGCAACATCTGTTGGGCACTTCTTACACAGCTACTGTAAGATATTGTTGGTCAATTTTTAAGTACGCTCAGAATTCAAGGCTCAGAACACAAGAAAACTTCTGTTATTGAAATATGTTTGCTAATCCTAGAATATTTATTACTCAACTATAATTATTGTAAACAGATTCCTTAATCTTATTTCTAGTACTAGAAGGTAAATGCATTGCCTGTTTTACATGGTTTTTTTATTCAATTCTTTCATCTTTGTTGGCAGTTTTCTATTGGAAAGATTTTCACATAGTAGCTCTGGGCTATTTTCAGTACATGTCCAGAACACCATCTTCAGAGAAATAAAAGCTCAGGCATACAGATATATTAAAAACAAACAAATGCAAATACAACACAAAAAAACCCAAACAAAACCAAACACACCTGCAAAAAAACCAAAACAAAACCACCCAAAGTTTATGTAAATGGAAGACAAAAGCAATGGCATTGGACAGATCAGTCAACAAAATCACACATGACAATAGGGTTCAGGGGGAAAAAAGAAGACACAAACTTTTTGATGCCTAACAACATAGGTGGTCTATTGCTGTCTATTAAATGTAAATTGAGTAGTATAACTGACTGTTAGGCATTCAGTCCTTGTGCCCGAGAGTTAAGAGAATTACTGATTTTATAATGCTGTTCACTATGTGCCAGTTTCTTGAGTTTTCTATTTTAACAACTTGCAGTAATCAGGTCTTTATTATTTTTTTGTCTTTTTTCTTTCTCATTAAAATAATAATAATAATAATAATAATAATAATAATTATTATTATTATTATTATTATTATTATTATTATTATTATTATTATTATTATTATTCAT